GCAAGCACACGACGTTGCGTGCGCTGCTGGCGGTGGCCGCAGAGCGCGACTTGGAGCTGCATCAGCTTGACGTCAAGACGGCGTTCCTTAGCGGGGAGGCGGAAAAGGAGATCTAGATGCAGCAGCCACAAGGATACGACCAAGGTGGGCCGGAGATGGTCTGCCGCCACAAGCGCATCTTGTACGGGTTGCGTTAGGCGCCGCGTGCGTGGCACATGCGTTTGAAAAGGTGAAGGCGCACTTGGCGAAGAAGTTTGATGTGCGCGATCTGGGGGAGGCGACGTTTCTCCTCGGGATGGAGCTAACAGGCGACAGAGAGGCGCCCACCATTAAGCTGACGTAGAAGAAGCTGACGGGGGAGCTGGTCGGACGTTACAGACTGGCAGACGCGCGGGCATGTAGCGTTTATCTTGGAACGGTGGACAAGTTAACGAAGAAGGGTGAGCCTCTCGACACAAAGCGGTGTCCATAAGCGAGTGTGTGGGAAGCCTGCTGGACCTGAGTGTGTGCACGAGGCCCGACATCGCACAGGCGGTGGGCGCGCTTGCGCGCTACATGGCGGGGCCGACGAAGGCGCACTGGCGGGCGGCGCTTGGGGGTGTGCGCTACTTGACGGGGACGGCAGAGGACGGGGTGACCTTCGGAAGGAGCGAGGAGGCTCTCATCGATTATTGTGACGCGGATTACGCAGGAGACGGGACACGAAGCAGTCCACAACGGAGTACGTCTTCCTGATGTTTTGGGGACGGTGAGCTGGTCGAGCAGGCTGCAGCCAACGGTGGCGGCCTCGAGTACATGAGCGCAGCTGAAGCGCTGAAGGAGGCTTTGTGGTTCCGCAAGCTCGGGGGAGATCTCGTGTTGGACCTTGGAACGGTCCAGTTCTCCTGCAACAACCAAGGGGCCATTGGGCACCAGAAGCATCCGATAGCTTAACAGCGGTCGAAGCACATTGACGTGACTCATCACTTTGCACAGGAGCGCGTGGTACGCAAGGAGGTCGCGTTCGCGTATTGCAGGACGGAGGACATGAAAGGCGGACATCATGACCAAACGCTGACACCGAGGAAGTTCAAAAAGTGCAAGAGCGAGATAGGAATCGCATAGTCATTAGTTTACTCGATTGATTGAATATTACTTCCAACAACGCTGTGATTCAACCGGGGACCTTGGAGCTCGTCGAAAAACTGGAAGGGTTGAAGCTGGTTCCCATGAACTGAGTGACAAGATTAAGCGAAAACTCTCGGAATTGTGGAGCGCTACAAGTCCCGGCTGGTTGATGAAGGGTACTTGCAGAAGTAGGGCATTGAATTTAAGGAAGTCTACGCCCTAGTGAGGAAGCACACGACTTTGCGTGCTGGAGCTGCATCAGATGGACGTCAAGACGGCATTCCTCAGTAGGGAGCTAGAGGAGGAGATCCAAATGCAGCAGCCGCAAGGATACGAGCAAGGCGGGCCTAACATGGTCTACCGCCTCAGGCGCACCTTGTACGGGTTGCGCCAGACGCCGCGTGTGTGGCACTTGCACCTAAGGATGAGCTCGTGGACCTTTGGGTTTGTGGCGTCAATGGCGGACGCGGCGCTTTTCACGAGAATAGTATTTGAGGAGCGGATCTACCTAGGGGTTGTTGAGATTCGGGCGTTACTTGAGTGAGTACGCCCTAATATCTTAGACAATTCGTAGCCGTCGATTGAGGCTTCGGTAGGCCGAGTATCGACCGTAGGATGGCAAGTTATTTGGTGTGTTACTCACGCAATATCGACCGTCCGATTGTGATTCGAGTCGAGTGATTTAGGAGCCCCGACCACTAGTGTGTAGTAGCCCCGACCTAGTAGTACGGTACTACCGACCACCTCGGTATAGCATCACGGACCATAAGTCCGAGTGGTAATTAGCCCATATAGCGAGTCGTATAGTGACCCGAGTGCGTCATACAGTGACCCGGTCACTTGAATAGGACTTCATATAGTTGAACCGACTAGTGCCCGGTAGAGATGGACTAGGCTAGTAGGGCTAGGGTACACCTACCTACGGATTTGGAATGCCTTGGACATTGCCATGAAATGGATACTCATTCCTAGTAGTTGTGAACTTGAAAGGCGCTTGCTTTCAACAGGTTATGGGCCCACGACGCTAGGGAGTGAGGAAGCCATTGCTAGCAACAACGATTCTAGGTTGGTGAAAGGTATTCCAGTGGGGGTTAAGTAGGAGTGACTCGAGCACTGCGAGCACTTTCCCTGCGACGCCAGTGAAAATACCCACAAACCTGTCTCGGCACAAAGGAGTGCCCAACCCAAGAAGCGTTGGTTGGCTAGCAGTAAAAATGGCTGAAGGAGTGAAGGTCAACGTAGAGCCTTTAGATGTTGACAACTATACGGTGTGGTCATAGAGAATGCAACTTTCTCTTGACACACAAGAAGTTGTGGAAAGGGGTCACGGACCCGGCTGGTGATGCGGAGAGGATCGAGGAAGCAAGAGCTTTGATAGGTTTGCACGTCCGGCAACAGCACCTATTTTTTCTTTTTATTTCCCCCGCGGGGAGGAGGTGGGCATCCCTCGAGGGCCGGGGTTCTCCAAAGAACCGCACCGATCCACGGGTTGCGTAGGATGCATAAAAAACGACCGGGATTCGCTCCCGACCACCCCCTATTGTGATACTAAAATACCAAAGTGAGAAGATCTATACGGTGCTAAAAACATCCGAATACACCATAGTCATTCTGCAGTTGAAAGTGCACAAGGGAACTTTTTGAGTCCACAGTTTTATATTGCGTTTAATTCTCTGTCGCTTATTGCGAGAGTGGGAGATTTGAAGTAAATGATGAAACACCTGAATCGACCGTAGGGCATGAAGCTTGGTAAGAGATATTATTTCATTCGGATGCACTATATTATCATCAAATATCCGTTGATTTCTGGCATACCAAATTGCACCAAGGAGCTCGGCATGCATGACTTTCCAAGGTTTGATTTCTTTCTGGGAAATTTGCGGTACGTTGCCTGTCAATAAATGCCACGAGTGAAGTTGCTGAATCTTAATATGTGGATAGATTTTGGACATTAGCTGTCTGAACCATAGCCAAACTGGTTGAATATAGCCGCAATCGATGAGGAGATGAAAGTCGTCTTCCTCTAGATCGCAATGTGTGCATAATGTTGAGTGACCAAACTTTCGTACTCTGACTCCAGTCATGCAAGCATGTGTGAGGATTCTGTATAATAGTTGTTTCGAGTGATTACTAAGTACTGAATCGTTTAGATACTTATAATGTGCAGACCAGTCAACGTCTAGACCAAGCTGATTGGTCCAACGAGCTTCTGCTGCAATCGTCGTATCATGATTTTCACGAATTGACAAATATCGCTCTTGACAAAAAACTTAGCAAAGGGGGTTATGCCCGCAGAGTGGGTCCATGAAATACGAGATAAATGTAATTTTTGCTCTGCAGAGGTACCGTAGTAATACAAAACTGTGCATGCTTTTACCGTGTGTGCTTTAGATAGGTCAAAGGTTTGAAATGATAGAGGATTATTGGAAATGGACATATCGGAAGCAATCGCATGTTGCACCGTACGAAGTTTACCGGAGAGGCAAGCAGAGACCTTATATATGCACATTGGATTTTGACCATTACGCATATCCCTTCTTTGTATCACCCAATCATTTATTTGGAAAGGCTCTCTCACCTTGAGTGTGATAGTTTAGTGCCAACGGCCAGGGATCCGCATGATAAGATTTTCAAGGATTTTTGCTATTGCTGCACCGTACAGGATCTGCAACTCGTCTTTGTTCTTAAAGCGCAGCTTGTTGTGGTCAGAAGGCGACCTATGTGTAACTAAATCTGCAATAAAGCGGGGACCACAATTCAGAGCAATTTTTTCATGGGTGAGATAATCACCAAAGGTGTTCTCGTTTTCCTTCTTAATATGTCTGTTAAACCATAAAGATTCATTTAAAAGACATTCATAATCCAACGGTGGCGGTGAAACAGAAAAGCCAGCTTCAAACCAACCTGTGAGATAGTGCTTCCATCTAGGGGAAATGGACTTCAAAGATAAGACAGATCTGTCAGAGGTGAAAATTGATTTGTCCAGCCCTACTTTCATGAGGCTTTCATAAGGCAAAAACTTCCATGAAGCAGTTTTCGAAGGATCAAGCAAGGAGAATACCCACTTTGAATGCAAAGCAGACAGGTTGTAGCTATATTGCAAAGCATTCAAACCACCATCCTTAAGAGGCTGGCAAAGAGTCTGAGAGCTCCATCTGGAAAAGTAGCGGTTTGTTGGAGCTTCTTCATCGAGACATTTGTTGTTCTGGACAAAGTTCCAAAGAAGAGAGTTTATCTTGGAGACCATTTTCGCATTGGGAGGAATAACAGAGGCTAGATACCAGCTCTTGCTAGCAATGTAACTCTTGACAGCGCAGATTCGACCAAAGATGGTGAGGTATTTGGGAATCCATGTTCGAATGCTACGATAAAATTTCTTGATCATCTCATTCCAAGCAGCGTCGTCGCAATACAGACTGCCAACTTGAATGCCAAGAATTGCCTCATGTTCACCTGGAGCTAGCCATTTGCAAGGAAGGTTTAGTGGCCGTTGAACTCCTATCGAGGAGCCCAAAGGGATCATTGTAGATTTACCCTCATTTAACTTCAGGCCAGAAACATCCTTATAAGTCTGAAATATATCAAAGATGCCACGAATCTCAGACACATCAAAAACATAACAGCAAGTATCATCTGCGTACCCTTTGTATGAGATTTTTTCATGAGGGAGAGGAATATCAAAACCAGATTGTCTTATATTGCAAGCGAGGGGTTCGGTTGCTGCTAGAAAAAGAAGAGGGGCCCAAGGGCAGCCTTGGCGAACTCCAGATGCGATCGGAAAATCATTAGATAGGAAGCCATTAATAATGATCTTGGCTGTAGATTTGTTGTGCAAGGTTAGAAACCAAGAAATAAAGTAGTCGCCAAAGTTCAAATTTCTCAATGAAGCTTCAAGAAAGTCCCTACAAACCGAATCAAACGCTTTTTCAATGTCCGCCAGAAAGGCAAAACCTGGCTTTTGATGCTTTTGCAAATGATCTTGGACTTCTAAGAAAGTGATGATGTTTTCGTTAACGGTTTCGACCAGGAACAAAACCTGTTTGATCATCTTTGACAACTTTGTGCATCACGAGTTTCATTCGCTCAGCAAAGACTTTTGCAATAATCTTGTAATCTGCACATAAAAGAGAGATAGGGCGGTAGTTTTTTAGTAATTTACGATCTTCTTTCTTATAGATGAGAGTTATTATGCTAGTTCTCATGGATAGCGGCAGTTCTTGAAAGAGAAAGCACTCATCAAGGAGGTCCAAATAGGCATCACCAATTTTTGGCCAGAAGAATTTGTAGAATTCAACTGGTAGACCGTCAACTCCAGGCGCCTTACCATTTGACAACTTCTTTAGACTGGCCAAGACTTCATTCTTGTGAATTTTCTTGTCACAGAGCAAACTGTCTTCAGCAGAGAGCCTAGCATCAGAAGCGATCAGGAAGCATGCGCGACGAAGCCCTTTATCAGTGGACTTGGATTGATACAGTGTGGTATAATATTTTGTTGCCTCCTGAAGAATGTCTTCAATATTGGAGACCACCTGAGAGCCAACGCAAGCTTGAATTTCAGTAATAAAAGACTTTTGAGCGCGAGCTTTGACCAAGGAAGAAAAATAGGCAGTTGGTTTGTCACCATCAATGGAGTGTTTAGCTCCTGCTCTCAGACGAGCAGCATCATGCACATCTTGATAGTAATTAGCCAGCAATAGACTTACCTTTTTCTTCTGGATGGGCAAATCTGAGTTATCAGGAGAGGAGCAGAGGGCTTCATTCACTTCCAAAAGCTGCTTTTCCAAAGTGACAACGGTTGCTTTCCTTCTACGAGATTGCTCTTTAGCGTAAGGTTCCGTAACTAAGCGAATGGCCAGCTTTAAACTCTCCCACCAAGAGCGGGTGTCAGGATAAAATTCTTTAGCATTCTTAAAGTCTGCAATAATATTTTCGACAAGCTTCTGGTAACCTGGACGTTTAAGGAGCAAACAGTTCAACTTCCAATAGCCAGAGCCTTTTGTTGCAGCATTAACAGCCCTGACAGTGAACGAGACTCCTGCTTCATGATCAGAGACAGACGTGGGCAGAGCGACATGTTTGCAAGCCGAAGTAAATGCCAATGCATTCTTGGTAAAGTAAACTCTATCAAGCCTAGCAGACATGTATACTAGGGGAGTCCCTTGAAAAAGTGAAGGCTTTGGCAGTAGGATGATAGTGACGAAAGAGGTCAGACAGATCGTGCTCAGCCGAGAGAATGTCAAATTCAGAGCTGCCAGTCATACCAAGAGAAGTAACGGAGAGTGAGCTGCGGTCCAAAGAAGGATCAGATACAAAGTTCCAATCGCCAGCAATAAAAGTTTTGTCCAACAATGGCTTTCTAGAAAAGAATTGGGATAAACATTCTTCGAAGAATTCAGGCCGGTCTGATGCATCAGCTGGAGCGTAGACACAGACGCTGGAATACTCTTCACCTTCCCAAATGTAATCAACCCTAGTATAACGACCTTCAGGATCATTGTATTCACTCACAATATTGACAGGCATAAAGAAAAGAATAGCAGTGCCAGCTCTATGAGGACTACCCATACTCCAAGAGCCTGCAGAAGCTTTGAGGCGGGTTTGTAAGTTCTCTGCAACTTCTGTTTTATAGATTCTGGTATCACTCAGATACATCACTTTCCAGCCGTGAATGTTTCTCATTGTGAGTAGCTGAGCTTGCTTCTTATCGTTGTTGAGACCGTTGACATTTAAAGAGAAGTGCGTAGCACAAGGAACAGTAGTGGAGGAAGCAGTTGGGGAAGGCAGGTTTCTGTTGTGCACCAAGCGGGGTCTACTCATATTTGGACAAGGATGGTAAGGCTTACTTTAGAGCAGCTACTTAGCAGGTTTGCTCCAGGGCTGGTTTGCCCCCGGCCACCCTGGAAGAAGCACCTTTATTCCCAGCCACTTTGGGAGCTGCAACCGCAGGCGCCTCCACGTCTTTAGCCATCTCCTTATCCGCTAGCTCACGCTCG